CAATATTGACAAGAAACCGAATAACTCAAAATATTAATTCTTCAAATTTGGTATAATGACCCTTGCAAATTATTTGTCTACATAGACTGATTGTCATTATTTTTCCTCATTGCATGACAAAAAGTATACTTGCATTCCCATTCTGTTTTTGCTGTCCAAATAATTATGAGGTTTTAAAGGGCATTTCATCATTTCCATTTTGAAAGGTATATTGCTTGTCAATTCATATGATGAATATTCTGAGGACTACAAGTTTGAATTTTGGAATTTGGATGGATAAATAATTAATAAACAAGTTGGAACGAGATGTTTCGATAAAAGAAAATGCAAAAATATGTGTGCAATATTAGTCATGTTTTTCTCCCATGTACAGAAAGAAGCCCACCAGAATTTGGTCAGAATGCACACAAATGCGCGGGACCTACCATGTATTTTTTTTTTTAAAATTGCGTGGAACCCACAAATGTGTGTTCTGGTGAAAATCTGTGGCCTTCTTTCTGTACATCCAGCCTTTCTCTATTAGTAATGCTATTTGTTTATCTTTAGTGTTGAACACCAACAATAATGCATAAAATTATTTATATAATAATATACATAATTAAATATGTAATAGATTTACTCTTCATATGGCCAGGGGTTGTTCAACCAGTTCAGTTCATGAGGCATAGGAGTGTAGGCCCGACTTGTAGTAATGGTCGACCATATATACAAATATACGAAAGAAAAGTTCTAGGGAAAATTATGTCCAATACTAAAGTTGGCCACGTGTAAGGAAAAATATGGCTCTTTTAAAATAATTCGAATGACGAGGTGGCCGTCAATTCCATCTAAGTTCATTCCAAACATCTCCCCCTTTGACATGACCTACTTTCTAGTTCGGTTGGAGATTGGTACCCCATTGATCACATATGAGAGTGAGGATAAGGCGCAAAAGTCGATATTGATCAAAGTGAAGATGAAATTGATGATATTGATACTGACGTGGAACCCGAAGGAGAAGATGAGATTGAGACCTAGAGTTCGACATACACTTCACATCATGAGATAATTCCTCGGTAGGTTCAACATGAGTTTCTATTGTCTATAATGGAGGAATCTTTACCTTCTTTGCACTTTGGTTTCTAGAGAGCCAATCACTAAGGCACATATTGCATAAAGATCACTTAATTTGATTTCACACTGTCGTTTTACCTAACTTAAGAAAAAAATGACTTTTTATTTTCACTTATCAAAAAGAATTTCCATCAACTTCCACTGTAATCAATTCAGTACCAATACCAAACAGCTCATACATTTCGATTCTCGGACTATTCTTCTAAGGGTTAATCAATTTGTATATAATGATTTGTATATAATGGATTGCCCCATCTCACATAATGTACGGTGGCCGCATGTATTTAAAAATTTCGACAATGTGGTCTCCATTCTCATTGTGAACAGTAGGTAAAAAATACGATAAAAAAAATTCGGTACATAACATGGTCATTCTTCTAATCAACTAAAGTTAAATGAATGTTATTGAAACAATTTCTTAATCCATGGGCGTCTTTGGACTTCTCCATTCATTAGAACAACCCACGCAATGCACGTGGAAGAGACACGACAAAAAAATCTACGTCCTAATCAATAATTGCTCTTCAGCAAAATAACAAATGGGGACCACATTTCATTTTCTACTTTTCCATTTTTTAATTCCTTCAGACTCACATATTTAAATATTTATAATATTTTATACCCATATCTTTTTTTTTTTTTAAACTTAGATGTCCAAGGTTCTTTCGACTAATCCCGACTCAACAATTATTACGCATCTTCAAATCCTTCAAACCCAAATGCTAGACATGGAGGCCACATAGAGATGTTAATGGTTGGGCAGAGCCGGCTCAGTCCATTTTCGAGAGGAACTGAGTTAAATCGAGTACCGATGGACATCTTAAAAATTAAAACCATTTGGTTCCATATCGAAGTTATGAAAGTGAACCAAAATCGTTTGATTCTGCTTTAGGAATTCGGTCCAACCGTTCCCATAACTTTTGTCCATCCCTAAACACACGAGTTGGCTCATGCTTGTGTCGGGACTAGCTGAGCACGATCCAACTCATTTGAAATTTTTTAGGCTAGGTTCACCTTTTTCACACCTTCTTTTTCTTATTTTAAAAATTCAAATTTTTATTTTTATTTTTGCTTTCTGGCTCCTGGACGAGCCAATGCAAGCCGATGACTTGCCTTGATGAGCTCAGCTCATGTCCATGACTTGCCTTTGGGACTAGCTAAACTAACAAATTGACGAGTAGCTCATCCCACTTAATATTCACAAGGCAGTACGACCCTTTCTTAACATACCACATTTCGAGTTCATGTAAATCAGAGTCAAATATAAAAATCATTAACTAGCTAAACTTTTTCCTCGTGTGATACATCCGACTCTAATTGCTACGATGTGGCTATTCATGACCAAGGCAAGACCTCCCTTACCAACCTCACCTCCTATGAATATAAGCCCTAATCATAACACGAAAGTGTTCATATTTTCACACTTAGCTCAAACTCTGTCTAACTTATGTTCCATTAACGGTTGGACTCTCATTGAAGGATTGGATTATCTTATTTTGACCACTGCATCTCCCTTCTTTTGAGTAGACGAGTAGTCTGGCACATGTATTTATTTATTTTTAATTTTATTTAAGTTTTTTTTGGGTAGATGGATTGATGTTCTTCGCTCTAGGCATCAATGAGTGGCCGTAAGGGAATTTCAGGTCAACTTATATCTAATATTATCAATATTCATGAACTCGTCTGACACATGTATTTTCTTTTTATTTTTTTTTCCTTCTTTTTTTGGTAGATGGATTGATGTTCTTCGCTCTAGGCATCAATGAGTGGCCGTAAGGGAATTTCAGGTCAACTTATATCTAATATTATCATTATTCATGAACTCGTCTTACACATGTATTTTTTTTTCCTTCTTTTTTTGGTAGATTGATTGATGTTCTTCGCTCTAGGCATCAATGAGTGTCCGTAAGAGAAGTTCAGGTCAACTTACATATAATATTATCAATATTAATGAACTATTACAATAAAAATAGTTTAATTCTTATTAATTATTGTCAATAACTTTGATATCAATTACATTGACATTTTTTCCTACTCCCTTCTTCTCATTGAATTCGGAATCAAATTAAAACACTACGATTTTAATTTAGAATTCAAAACTTAACTTGTTTTGACTTTTAAATATTTATAAATGAGTTATTTCTCGACTAACCAAGTCATGTGGAACTCGAGCCGTCGATATTTGAATGATGGAATCTAACCCCTTTATATAACCCCAATGTAGATTGCAACTAATCTAGAAAAAAATTAGGTACATGTCCAAGACGACCAAACATAGTTTGATTATAGTATTTTCCGTAACAAAAATTACAAAATCATAAGTCATCGATAAAAAAATGGCCGCACGGTTGCCTAAATATCACATACAGATATAGAATTCCATACGTTTTTCCTTCAAAAAAAAAATAAAAATGAAACATATGTGTGACATATATAAATATCTTTTTAGTTAAATTTTACAATCGATTGTATCATTTGAATAATTGTGTTAGTTTTTATTTACCCTCCACTCTCTCTAAATGTTTTAGTGGGATCGAATTAAAATGAAGGTATAAATTACTTACGTGTTGGGATTTAACCTTGTCGACCAAAAATTGGAATATACATAATTGAAATCTTTCCACTGATCGGGTTCATTTGTACCACATAAGTAGATAAGTGTAATCAGTCCAAAGTGGTCCTAAATCTACTTACACCCAATTGATAACTATGATTCATACGACAAAATATTAATAATTAGAACAAGCCATAACATCTGTGTCAGTGGTAGGGCTCGACAAAACTATTGAATCGTATCCGAACCAAATCAAACCGAACAGAGCAATTTTTTTAAAGTTAAATATCCGAACAACTATTTGAATTGAGAATTGATATGTTTGGTTTGGTTCTCGAATCTAGACAAAGTAGTGAAGAACCGAATCTTCTTAAATTTTTTTATATTAAAAAAGCCAAATTATTTTAGTTTTCTAAATAAATTTGCCATCAAATTCAAACTCAAAATATGACTTTTCTAGATTTGAAGGTCTAAAGCAAATCAATGAGATGAAATCAATGATATTTTTATTATTTACTCTTTGGTAATTTGTATACATTGGTCAATGAATCTTATTAAATAATTTGTTATTTATATAATTTTAAATTGGACTACGTTGTTTTGTAAACAATAAGATTAAATATGTTATTAGTTGAATAAATGTAGTGTTGTTGTAAATATTAAAAAGTTCAATTATGGTACGGAACTGAACGAAATTGAAAATTCGAATTCCATTTCATTTACTAAATACCCGAAAATTCGAATTGGATTCAGTTATCTTTAGAATCGAACTGAACTAGACCAATTCCAACCTTAGTGAGAGAGGCCGGGGTGGGGTTTAAAGAAAGATATTTAAATAATTACATTTTACGATTCTTTCCTAATATGATCTTGTAAACGAATTTGTTAATCGAAGCTTGACAAAAGACTTGAATTCACACTTCGTCACTCTCTACTTATGAAAAATTGTACAGATATAACACTTTTGATCAAAATAAAACACGATCTTAAATGACTCGTTGAATACAAAATTTAAATAATTGCAAATGCCCTTTCGACGCTTTGTTAGATAAGTTGATATATCAAAACAGAGGCCAGTTAGTTAACAGAAATAGAGACATACATAGTTGACTACAAGGACGTACGTGTAAAAATGGTGGTGGTGCTCGTAGCAGATAGCCCCACCCCCCCACTAGACACTATATCCATTTCATTATTTTTGGTCTATATAAACCTAAGTAGCCTTTTCCAAACAAATACCTTCTCATTATTGTTTATGTTGTCCTAACAACCTTTCAAAGTAGAAAAAATAAATAAAATATAAGTATCTGCTGGTTATACACAGGCTTTAGCAATGGCAGGTGGAGGTTTGGCTACCTCGGCCGGAGGCACGCATTTCGAGGCCAAGATTACTCCTATTGTTATCATATCGTGTATCATGGCTGCCACCGGAGGTCTCATGTTTGGCTATGATGTCGGTGTTTCAGGTTCATTCGTTAACTTCGTTTCTTTTTTTTATGAAAATCTCGAAGTTGAAGAGACATGTTACTTATGTTATTAATTAGTAATTACTTTTAATCATGAGATTAACTTATCTAATTAAAATTTCTAATTACAGGTGGTGTGACATCAATGGATGGTTTTTTGAAAAAATTCTTCCCGGTTGTATACCGGAAGACGAAGGATCCCGGAATAAACAGTAACTACTGCAAATATGATAATGAAGGGCTGCAATTATTTACATCATCATTATATCTTGCTGGTTTAACATCAACATTTTTTGCTTCATACACAACCAGAAGATTAGGCAGGAGATTAACTATGTTAATTGCTGGGGTTTTCTTCATAATTGGAGTGGTCCTCAATGCTGCAGCACAAGATCTTGCTATGCTAATTATTGGGAGAATTATGCTTGGATGTGGTGTGGGTTTTGCTAATCAGGTTGGTTATTTTTTTTAATTAGGAATTATTAATGCTTATTAATTTTGTGCTAACACAAATTTAGACTTGGATAATTATTTTTCTTTTGTTGGAATATGGGATAATTAGATGCAATAACAAATAGAAGAGGGATGAGGTGAAATCCATGGATTCCATTTATAAAAAAGGGAAAAATAAATAAATTTGTTTAGACTGAATGCTTCTAAACGTGTGTTTGACGCACATTAAAATGGAAAGAATGCATTTTTTTTTGTAATGTGATGATGAATATGTGGTTGAAAAAGAAAGAAAAGTTATTGATATAATGGAAAATACTATTTTACTGAAAAATGTGCGGTTGAAAATGAGAATGTAGGTCAAACATGGGCATAATGACGATTAGTTTATTGTAACTTTGATGCAGTTCTAATATTTTTACAATTATTGTCATATAACTTTCTTCCTTAAAATATTATTTAAGGAATTAGGGATATTTTTAATATACTAGAATGAACAGCACTACACGTATAGATACAAAAAACCTACAGATACTCACAAGAGGGGTGGGTGGGTAATTTTTTTTTCTTTTTTTATTGCGTGGGATCCACCCTCATGTGAGAGGGTGTAAGAATTTTGTAAATTGAACAGTTTTGTGCAAATGGGTTAATCCTACTAGAATAGACAAAACTGATTATAATTTAATAAAGGAAGATGTATGAAATGTTGTTATCTGTTGTTATGTCACGCGTTGTTGACTAAACATGTCTTAAACACGACGAAGATGCCATAAATACGATGTGGTGTTGATAAACCCAAAGTCATGGTCACGCTCAAGTTTTGTCCCACAACTTTTTCTTGCTTAAATATATTCGAAAATTGACTAGTTTACAATGGATTAAGACACTTTTTGGAACCAAACAAAGTGTGACATTAAAGACATCAACCTTTTTAGCTTTGGAAACTCTCCATTATATCTTTTGATGCCCCACTTTGATATTTTAAATCATTGCTTATTCAAAATGAAAAAGTGAATCTCACTTTTTATATATTATTTCTGTCCTTTTATTTTATCTAATTCAAAGATAAGATAGACTCGTGTAAATTTGAAACATTGATTTACACTTCACAAGAAATTGCTATTTTTTTATTTCTATAATGTTAATCTTACTTCAATATTTTACGCTTCGTCTCACCCCATCTTTCGATTTCCATTGAGGTCGAACCTAAACCCGTGCTCGAGAAATAGCTGTCTATATACTGATAATGGCTGTACTTCAGAGATCCCTATATAAAAATTCAGTATCTTCTCACTAATGAGCGAATTAGACCCAGAGGTCTCGAGAAAGCTGCAATCGAGAGGATTTTCCTAATCCTTCCTTCCCGAAAGGATGAGCGTGACCCCATCCTTACTCTCACTCTTTTGGCTCATGTCGCACGGTCAGATATAAGAATTAAAGCCTTATTTGATTTCTATTTTTTGAGAATCACTTCTCAAAAAGTCTTTACCTAACCAAAGCTACATATGTGGATGAAATTTTGAGAATTTAAATTATCATTTATGTGGTTAATATTGTATCAGATTTAGGCAAATGATTCAAGATTTAAGACTCAGCACCACTCATTTATGAAAATTACATACCTGTTAATTTTTTTCCTAAAAAAAAGTTTGATTTATATACTACGAGACTCTGGAAATTAAATTTATCAGGAACTTATATGTGTACATGTTGCATGCATTTTCAGGCAGTACCCTTGTTCTTATCAGAGATTGCACCCACAAGAATACGTGGAGGGCTTAACATCCTATTCCAATTAAATGTCACAATCGGCATTCTATTTGCAAACCTTGTCAATTACGGCACTGCTAAGTAAGTTTCTTGTTTTATTTTTATGTTTTATAATATATATATAATTTAAGATTACGTAAATGTGTTTTTTTGTGCACGTTGGCGGTCTATAAGAAGTGATTTTGGACTTGGATTTGGCATCCTATTATAAAAATATATTTTTATGTTTTGTTGCGCACCTACGCCCTGGAGGGTCATGTCATTATAGGGGTGTTAAGTAGGCGAGCAGCGAGTGCAAGTCAAACTAGAGATGACAACAAGACAAATATGGGATGTGTCGGCAATTCTCATCCTCGTCCAGTCGAGTATTTTTGTCACATTATCCCATTCTCATACGAGGTTAAAATGGGACGGGGTGGATCGGGATGCAGCAGGGTAGGTCCCCTACCCCATTTATCGTCCCATTTATTTTTTATATTTTTAAATAGTAAATATTATTACTCTTTTTCCAATTTGTTAAAAACAACTTTTATTTTATTTAAAAATGATGATAAATGTATTATTTTTATTTGATTAAAAACTTATATTTAAAATTAATTTTAAACGAGGTGGGTCTATGTTTTTCATACCAGACCCGTACCCGCTTCGAAACAATGATCCTCGCCCTTGTTTACCCGGTTAGGCGGGTAATTCTCGTCCCATGAGGGGTGGGCCCCCCGGTGTCGGGTTGAATGTTTTTTTTGCCATCCCTAAGTCAAACAATGGATTTCTAGTGCAAGCCTTTCGTTGCCTTGGGAGCCAACCTCGTGAACAGTGAGATAAAACATAATTTTCAATAAATTAATTAAAAAAATGGCGAGGCCCAAGCAGCTTAGCTCGCCCCACAGTGAGGTGAGTACGTGAAGTCGAGTTGAGCCACACTTCAATGAAACGAACCACTCGCATTTTAATCATCTCACAGGAGAGCGTGACCCGATTCGCATAGTGGGTCAATTTTGAGCTTGATAGTGGGCGGGCCGAGCGATTCAATCCATTTAACGCCCCAACATGGCTAGTAGTGAAGAAAACTTGGTTTTGTTTTGTTTGACTACTTTACTTCGAGTTTGAAAGTGTAATGCCATTCATCTAAAGTTTAGATGATTATTAATTTATGTGATAGTTGAGTTGTTGTCACGTTATTCAATGAAGTTGGAATGCATTTTTAGATATTGAACTATATGGTGGGGACCCCAATGTCAACCGATGATCATAGATTCTAGATGAAAATCATTATTCAATTTAAAATGCCGACTATATTAACACCAAACTATTTTTTTTTTATAGAAAATTTACTGTTGATTAATGAATTTTTTCATTCTTATGTTCAATCAAACACTGTTTATTTGAAAATTCAACCTTGATGCTACTTGAAAATTTTGAGTTTTGACGTACTTTGCTATTCCCATGACCTGAAAAATGGCGGAGGCTGTTTCTACTTGCTTGTTTTATGCCCAAGTCCGTACAGTGAATGTAAAATAACAATAGGAGAGGATTACGAGTAATAAGTAAAGGTCTAAAATGCGTAATCTATACTTCTTGACATAGTTTGTGCGCTGTTAAAGATATGCGCGCCTTTGTTCGATAGAATATACAAATCTTTTGTGTGATCATAGAATCGACTAAGTCTCTATCTCACCTTGGGTCTTTGGTCGATACCCTAACAATATGCGCTCTTGATGTAGGATCGAGTACTGTGTTCAATAATGTGACCTCTGGTGTCTAGTCATATTGAAGCCTTGTCACCTGGCAATTTTTATTCTTGCAGTGTCAAGAATTTGCTAAAAAGTGTTTTGCCCTGCAAATTATTTACTACTTTTATTCATGATTCATACAAATGTCTGTTGATAACCAGAATCAAAGGAGGATGGGGTTGGAGGGTATCATTGGGACTGGCCGGATTTCCTGCCGGCCTCCTTACAATAGGTGCCCTAATGGTCGTGGACACCCCAAACAGCCTCATCGAGCGTGGTCGCCTGGATGAGGGAAAAGCCGTGCTACGAAAAATCCGAGGCACTGATAATATCGAACCCGAATTCTTGGAGCTTGTGGAGGCAAGCAGAATTGCCAAACAAGTTAAACACCCTTTCAGAAATCTTCTCATGCGCAGAAATAGGCCTCAGTTGGTAATTGCTGTGGCCTTACAGGTACGTCATATACCCAAAGATTGAAGAAAATCTAGGATTCTGATGCCTTAGTTAGAACAGTTGATTCACGGGATATGCTTCTCGTGCTTTTCCAGGATATGCTTATAGCCCAATTTGATCTCTAAATTTTATTTTGTTTCAATATACTTTGTTACATTTTGGTCACTCTCTCTATAGTAAAAGATGATACGGCAGTTCGGTTATTTGCTAACTAGGTTAACAAGGTTAGCAGCACCGAGATGTGGAATTTCTTTTTCATGGATACCACAAAATCTTCCGTCTTTGCCTTCAGTTACATCTAAAAATGTCTTGAAATAAATACGTATCTTTCATTTCATTTGATTTGGCTTTCAAACTAGAGCAAACATAATATTTATTTAATATTGTTGAGTATTACTGCGTTCACCTTAGAAAACAAGCTGAATATGTTATTCAAATGCTATGCTGCAGATTTTCCAGCAATTCACAGGAATCAATGCGATTATGTTCTATGCACCAGTCTTGTTCGATACTGTTGGATTTGGGAGTGATGCCGCGCTATATTCAGCTGTCATTACTGGAGCTGTCAATGTAGTCTCCACCATCGTCTCCATCTACTCAGTCGACAAAGCAGGGCGGCGCCTCCTCTTGCTGGAGGCCGGTGTCCAAATGTTTCTCTCTCAATTCACAGTAGCCATAATCCTCGGTATCAAAGTCAAAGACCACTCGAACAACCTTAGCCATGGCTTTGCAATCTTCGTCGTAATCCTGGTTTGCACATTTGTGTCCGCCTTCGCATGGTCTTGGGGTCCTCTCGGATGGCTAATTCCAAGCGAAATATTCCCTCTGGAAACCCGTTCTGCCGGCCAAAGTGTTACAGTTTGTGTGAACCTTTTGTTCACATTTGTGATTGCACAAGCTTTTCTGTCAATGCTGTGCCATTTCAAGTATGGGATTTTCTTTTTTTTCTCTGGTTGGGTTCTGATTATGTCCATTTTTGTGCTGTTTTTGGTGCCTGAGACAAAGAATGTGCCTATAGAGGAAATAACGGAGAAAGTTTGGAAGCAGCATTGGCTATGGAAAAGGTTTATGGATGAAGAAACTGAAACTGGAATTGATAATGAGGCCAAGAAAACTGGATTTGATCCTAATTCCCAGTTGTAAAATATACAGGGAGAGGCTTTGTATTTTTCGGATATCATTTATAAATAAGTTGTAAGCTAAGTGCTTGTTTTGAAAACAAATTTAGGTTCTCTGTCCTAATAATTTTAGTCGTCATTTTTATATTTAATATTAATCGGTGTCGCATCTACTTCTGGTAAATATTTCCTGTTACTATGCTTGTAGGATAACTCCATTTCTCGTACTCACAAAATATTTGATTTTCAACTATAGAGTAGAAACATATGGACTGTGTTTCATTTGTGCCTTTACTATCCAATTATTGGTGCTATGGTGTTGGCTTAGTACTATGTTAATTTTGATGAAATGAATCAGATTGTGACTGTACCAATTTAAAATGATAAAAGAACTGCGTAATATTAGGAGAGGAAGGGGCAAAGCACTCGAACTTAATGAAGATATGAATAGTTTATGTTCTTTATTCTAATCAAACCCCGAATTACAAGTTTTGAAAAGGTGATAGCTCTTCGAGATCGATGCATTTTGATCTAAATGTTCCGTCTGTTGAGCCGGAGTCTATTTCTTGAGTTTGTTTGAGTCCCATTTTTTGGGAAAATACATTTTGTAATGTGATTTTTGGAAGAATGTCTCATTAAAAAATGGTGAAATTTTTTATGTTTACGTGTAAAATCATTTCGTTGGTAAAATGTGTGATTGAAAATGAGTTTGGAGGAAAATTGGCCTCAAACAGGGGCCTCATACTACAAAATGACGATAATGTTCCTGTACGCCGAATAAAAGGCCAACTAGATGTACTAGTCAGGTGTGTTTCACAAACACTTGAATTATGGAATATAGCGAAACAAACACATTCAGCCCATGTTTGACACACATTCTCTAAAAATGAATTCTTCAATAAATAATATTTTCCATCATATCACTATTTAAAATACATTTTTTCTTCAATAATATCCATCAAACACACCCTCAACTTTAAATAGTTTTCCTTCCCGAAGTGTGATGAGAATGGAGTGGCATTAGCATTGAAGATGCAAGAATCGAAGCTCTTGAAAGTTGAAACAACTCAAGCATTAAGACGAGTAATAAGCTTGAACAACTCGACAAATGAAATAGATCATAAGCACATTTTAACTCAAAATAAAGACCTTTTATACCAAAAATTTAAAATTGACCATGTTCCATTCTGGTCATTAAAAAGGAAATGTTGCCAATATTTGAATTGAGCGTGCTCTTTCCCTTGTATAGTGGCAGCTTGAGTGCAACAAAAAACATGTCTCCCCAGCATAGAAAGCAATAATACAACTAAATGCCATTATTATACTCTTCTTCACAAGCCCATTTTTGTATTAAGGATCCAACCACCTTTAACCCCACCATTCTTTCCTTTCAAGTATTTCAACCATTTGTTGGATGTTAGTTTATAACATTATACAAAAGCCTGCTAACAGCTCAGATGTGAGAATTTTACCTCAATAATTTATACCATCTGTATTTTTACTTCAATTAAGTAAATAGATTTTGTAGTGTTTGTAGCTTAAGAATTAAATGTGCGGAAAAATATACGCCTCTTCACGTGTAGGTTAGGGATATGAAAAATTTATCTATGCAACTTCGAGGTGGTTCATCGTACATTTTACGTAACAACAATATTTTACTCCAAATAAATAAATAAAAATTGTTTTAACATTTAAAATTTTTTTTTTATCACAACAAATTAATCTTCATAATAGAGTGCTATTGGTCATTTTCATCAGAAAAAGTCAAGAATTAAATGGAGTTTGTTGAATGGAGGGAGCCCACTTTCATTAAAGCCCCTAAAGGGGGGCTGCCATTATCACGACAAGAATGGTCCATTCTGAAAAGCTCCAAATTAACCTCCGAAAGTCCAAAAACTTTATAAACTGAGCTAGAACTGAAAATCAGAAAACTGTCTCTTGAGTTTCTCCGTAACGGATCAAACATTTTCTCAGAAGTTCGACAGAATTTGCAAAAAAGCCATGGCCCTTGTTCTTGAAAACACAGTTTTGGCAGTTTTGTTTTTCATCTTAACTTCAGTGCAGGTTTCAATTGGAGAGGTTCATAAGGTGGGAGATTCTGCAGGTTGGACCACCATTGGAAATGTTGATTATAAGCAGTGGTCAGCTACAAAGAATTTCCAAATTGGTGATGTCATTGGTATGTCTTTCCTCTTCTCAATCCTCGAATATGTCTGTACCGCTTCCGGGTTTCACAAGGGCTTGCATTGGTTTATAACTACGTTGGACACAAGGGGAGGGTACCCGTGGGGCTTGTAAGTCGAGTAAAGTGAGACTTTGAAGTAGCATTTAATTTTTTGAGTACTATGCGTAAAAATTGAACTGAATGGTATATTTCTTGAGAAGTCCTTTGCGAGATATGTAATCGGTTTGTCTACTTGACCCCGAGTCGAACACCTCGTAGTCGAGATTCAAGAGTACCAACCATTAGGTTGCATCAAATGGACAATGAGGTGACCCACGTGTGATTTTGTCAAATCACAAAATTTCCATACTTTCTAATCCTCAAAAACATGCCAGCCCAACCCACTCATCAAATTGCACGCCTCATAATATTGGCCATTATTCTCACATTGCAAAGCAAACCACTCATTGTGCTAAGCATTACAGCAAACATTAGTATCATTGTACATAGAACATAAAAAGAGGTTTCTGTCTATTAACTTTATTAAAGTAAAAAAAATAAAAAAATTCCATATTAAACGTGAACGAATTGCAGTCAGACCGACCTTAAACAAGCATTGATTCAGTTTCTTTAATTCAATTGAAAGTATTAAGCTTATCAAGGTAACCATTTTGTGGTTTTTACAGTTTTTGAGTACAACCCTCAGTTTCACAATGTGATGCAAGTTACACATGCTGAGTACAAGTCATGCAATGCATCTTCTCCTATTTCTACTCACACTACTGGAAATGACTCCATAACCATCAGTACTCATGGTCACCACTTCTTCATGTGTGCCGTACCCGGTCACTGCCAGGCTGGACAGAAAGTCGATATCAATGTTCTTCGCTCTCCTTCAGTCGCCCCTTCACCTTCTTCAGTATCCTCTCCCATTCATATGGTACCTGCACCTTCTCCCAATGCAGCACGATTCTCGGCTTTAAATAAGCCATTTGAGAAGCTTGGATGGCTATTGGTGGTTTTGCAGCTTTTATTCGTGGTTTCTTAAATGCTATCATTTCATTTGAATTTACGAGTTACGTGGATTATCAGTCAATGGTGAAAACATTTTGGCATTTTACTAGGTGTTATTAATGTACTCAGTATGAGAGTCATAATAATTTTCATTCCAGTCAGTTCTTGTTTTCTATGTACTGCAGTTGTAATTTTTTTGTATAGTTGAGTACATTTTCACAAGAGAACTTTACCTGCAAATGAACTTTCCATCTTTTTCTTTCTCCAAAATGGCATATATTTCACAATTCAGTTCTTCAATCCACACCACGCAGTACTCAATCAAGAGAAGCAAAATGAAAAATAGATAAATCTTACACGTTTAGGATTGTATTGTGTACTAAATATTGCTCATGGCATGTTCAGTTGCGAAACTCAATGCACTATTCGTAAACAACTTGGAGCAGGACCTTCTTTCACAGTATTACGGATTCTGAAAGGAATTTGGTGGCACAATGATGCAATGGCTATTGGGCCAAAATTGAGTTGGCCCAGCTGGAATTGGAGTCCAGCCCAATGTCTGTTGGTTTTGTTTATGAGCAGAAAACGTGTTTTGTGAATTTGCTTGAAACTGTGTTTTCACTTGCCCTGATGATGGACGCTCTTGATGTCGCAAGTGTCACCTCCAACACTGTTGGATTGGTGACCTTTAGGTGAC